TTCTTCCTTTCAGCTCACCTTCCAGAGCCTCAGGACTCAGCTCTGTGTGTGAGTGCTCACGTTTTGGGGTCACAGCTGGATGTGGGCAAGTTCAGACCCACACCTAACTGAATTTCATCCTAACCATGGATCTCTCCCAGCCAGGCTGCTTTCCCTCTATGCACAGAGTAATGCAGTGCTAAGCCATGAGCTCGATTTTGCAGAGATTAGATTTTCAGTTATAACACTGACTAGAATTCAATATCCATCGCTCCCTCCAGGGTACCAAAGAATCTTCAGCATTTGCAAAGCTGAACTTTCTAAAGCAAGTGTACCTTTAAAATTAGTCCGACACGACTCAAATTCAGATATTGACACCTTTGGGGTTAATATTCTCAAAGACATTCCATGCAACAAACCACACACTTTTTTCTTTCTTGAAAGCTGAAATCAGCTCAGACATAAACGCAAACTACTGCAACAAACCAACGATAAAATCAAAAGCAAACTTCAGCCAAGCCACGAATCAAGCTGAAATGAAAAGAAATCACCTTCATGGTGAACAAGATCGACCACAAAGGGGTTTGGCGCAGTTTAACTGTTGCACTCTAAGTATGCATCATTACTTTAATATGAATTAAATTCTATCTATCCAATACAAACAAGCACACGGTTCTTTACATCCCTTTGTCTGGCCAGGTTGAGCTCTCCTGAGCCATCATAGTGAACACACGATGCGAGCTGCACTCAGGCCTGGATCTCCAAGCGCTCAGAGGCGTGCAGCCCTTGCCTGTTAGCAGCAAAGAGCCCCTCCAGCTGCAGGAGGCTCCCACACATACCTGCAGGACTGAAATGAAAGCCTCGAGCCATCCAGCATCACAACACCTTCTCACATCTGCACTACTTTTGTCCAAAAGTTTCGTCTGCAGCCTCCAACGCTGACGCACCAGGGTGGACCTGTATGTGTGCATCTCACTCCTGATGCTTAATGGTCTTGAGCACAGCGATCCACACCGCTCTGGAAAGAAATCAATTCTCCCTTTGCTCTGAGGGATAAATGCATGTATTCCATAATCAGCCTGAGAGAACACACATAGGGGATTGGTACATCTGGGAAGCATATGAGAAGCCTTTTCATATATATATATATATATATATATATATATAAAATTATTTTGTGAAGCACCTCTCTCAAACCCACCTTTAGGTATTTTTCCTTCATTTGCACGCTGGAAAAGTTGACTGATGTTTTCAGTTTGTAAGATATAAAATAATAACCACCCGGTTGCATTACTTGAATGCTTTTCATGCCTAGAATCTCCCACTACACCTTATCCATCTTATCTGCAGTGTTTCTTTGACATCCTCATACCCTGTTCCTGCCATTAGCCTTGGGATTCAGTTCTCCCAACATGGACATGAGGTCGCCTCAGGGGTTCTACTGAGCACACAAATACCTTCCTAGGACAGAAAGTGAAGAAAGATATCACATTTAGCTGAAAAATCACCGGGCACCAGGACCAGCAAGTGGGCACAGAGCAACCAGGGGCTGCATTTGGACGTGTTTCAGTGCTGAAATGGCTGATTTACACTCAGAGCACAAAAGCACTTTCCGTCAAAATATCACCTTTTGATGGTGGCAACACAGGAGTGGAAGGAAGACTGAAATCTTATCTTCAGGGTGTCCCTTCCATGTTATAAACTACTCAATATTTTTCCATTTTGACCAAAAATTCAGCTTCTAGGTGGAAAAAAAATGAGGAAATAAAAACAGGCAACTCTTTTTCCGGTGATTTGCTGCAGAATAACACGAGGTGAGCTCCAGTCTGAGTTAGTGTCTGAATCTGTTACCAGTGAGAGATAAATGAGGCCTCAGGGCAACGTGCTAAATCACAGGGGTGCCTGCTACCACCTCGCAGTTACGCATTTCTGCTTCTCCCTCTCTCCACTGGGTTTACCTAGGAGGCCCAAAAACACTTTTACAGGAGCACGGGGTCTTTGCTGTGCTGGAAATGCCTTTCTTTTCCTCCCTCCCTCTGTTTTAGGAGAGTGGCAATGCTATGAAAAGACCGGATCTTGTTTTACTTTATTGCCATTAGGGGCAAAGGAAAAAAAGAGAGAGACCCATAAACACAAAAATGCCAGGAAACAAGGAGACTGCATGCTTGAACGCCCAGCCCTGGCTGCCTTCTTCCATGAGTAACAGCCCATATGTTGACAGAGGTCACGTGTGGACATCCACCACAATGCAGAAAGAGGAGGTGCAAAAAGATTCACTTTATACCAACAGAGCCTTTTGTTTCCTGTGGCAGAGCATCGCTCTGCACCTTGCGTGAAGCACAAACCTTTTTATTCCCATTTCTCCCCCAAATTGATCCCTTCTGTTCCACTTTTCTTCTCCACAGCAGTAAGTGCTACAGAAATGTTTCCAAGTGATTCACTGCAGAAAATATTTGGGGAAACCAAACCAAACACTTGCAGCTGTGTGGCACAGACCCACTCGGAACCCATGGCAAGCAACAAGATTTATCTATAAAATCTGAATGCAGGCCAGACTGGTTGATGTTTCACTAAGTTCAGTTATCTGGGGCTAATTCAGTGCTGTCTGTGGCAGTGGATCTCAGCACAGCACCTGGAAATCTCCAGTGCTTCCACTGCAGAGCTCGGTGCATTCCGCTGCAGCCCAACCTTCCCAGCTGGCCTCGCTGCCCTGTCCTGCAGCAGCAGCCCCAGGTGGGCATCCTGCAGTAACTGCTCCACGAGATCTGCATCCCCCAGGAAGGCAGTTACTCTGCTTTACGTGCAGCTCGTGTTTTGATATGGCTCCTTTAAGTCACCTCTCTCGATGAGCTCAAATCTCAGCACCAACCTGCAGTTTCAGCCAGCCTGCCTGAGCTACGATTCAGTATCACCATCGTTACATTGCAGATCCTTTTTGCTCCTTTCTGTCCCCAGTTTCAGAGAGCTCTGTGCCTATGGATGTGGAAACCAAGCAAGGTGGGAGGAGCAATGCATAAAGCACCACATGCTCTACCCCATTCCTTGCACGCATCCCCAAGGCACAGCACCAAACCAACAAAGTTTTCCATCCAAGCCCTCCACAATTCCTATAGGGCGCTGTGTTTGCCCTATAGAAATCCAGGACTATTGATGAACTGCATGGGGCAGGGGAGAAAGACTTCAGCTACGCAGTCAGGTCATGAGAGCAAAAACCACATATTTCAATAGAATAATGAAAGGGGCCAGGTGCTTAATCTCACTATTTGTGGAGAGTTTCAACTCGTGTGCTTACACATCACTTATTTTTCACTATAAAAACCTGAACAGGAACAACTAAGTGCAAAAAAAAAACAAATGAAAACAAAAATAAAGCAAAACAAAGAAGATCCATCACACCACTGCAGTCCAAAACAAGTTTCCAACACACACGCAGAAAAGTTTTTGTCCTTTCACATTCCACATTACAAATCTAGAGACGTTAAAGCAGCAGCACTCAGATCCGAAACGACTCAAGGCCATCAAGGTGAGACTTCTGATTCGGGCTCATACACGAGGATGTCATTGAAAAACGTTCAGCAGCCCAAGGAAATCGTGGTATATATGGCAGTCTGTGACCAAAGGGATTATCCCAGAATGGCTCACCTGATTAGTTATACAAATGCCTTTTATTTTTTTCCTTAATCCAAGACCGTGCAGAATGCCAAACGGGAGAATGGAGCGGGCTGCGTGCTGGAATGTCTGAAGGCTACAGACTTGGGATTTATATTCCATGTTGAATTCATTGTTCTCTCTCCTACCCCCGCTGCCCTCTAAAAAATGCTGCAGCCATGACAGAAATAAATTAGCCGGAGGTACAGGTCACACCTTCAAGGGCAGTAAGCATTCTGGGTAAAATCAATAGAGAAGATGGGAGTCTCTAGCAACTGAAGCAGAAAGAATGACGCATTGATGGCTTTACATATACTCAAACAAAGGCACTTTGGAGCAGCCCTCGTCCCTGCTGCCTTGTGAACACAAAGCTCGTTTTTCCGACCACCTGAACCCCAACAGCAACACAGAGGCGATTCAGAAATTGTTTCTTTGGGCAATTTGCATATCGATGAGAAAATTCTGCTCGTTTGCAGCTCCACCCAGGGAGGAGCTCCGGACGATGAATTCCAACCCGAGCTGCAGCTCCCACAAACTTTTACAGAGCTCCCAATGCGCACGGAGCCTCGGCTGAAATGGAGCAGCTCTCTGCAGCCCTTCGAGTGGCAGAAGTTGAAGCAGCAGCCGAAAACTCCCACAGAATTCAATGAACACACAAACAAATCCAGAGGGCACCACCAGGCAGCGCCGCTCTGTCTTCTGTTCATTATTTCCCCCTCTGGTTTTAAAGCAGAGTCAAAATCACCTACATTAGTCAGAATCACCTCCATTCATTCAGCACCTTAAAGGCAGGCTGTGGTATTTATGAGTCACAGATCCCCTGAAATAAGGCGATATCAGGCTCACAAGGATAAGGGCTATATGAAGATTCATGCAGAAGTGGCTTTTACTAACAGCTGAGTTAGGTAGGAGCTCTCGGTGAGACACACGACCTTGGCAGACACTTCATAGATCCCATGGGGTTCCTACCTGCATTTCCAGGCTCCTAAAAGCTTTAAACCTGATCTAAGCTTCCACAATGCTGCTAAAAACAGGACTCAGACTCCGCAGTCCCTCGGGAGCTGGTGAAATTACTACCCAGGAGATCCATCCCTGGGCAGAGCTACAACCTCTCCTCCTGTTCTACGCCTCCCAGACTTCCCCAGAGACAGCTCTGGCCCAAATACAGCAGAATCCAAACCCAAACCAGCACTGATTTTGTGCAGAGCCAGCAAGGGAATGCCAAACAGCACCACTTCTCCCTACCCTCCTCATTTGTTTGTTCTTTTGAAAACCCACACAACGTTAGCACGTGCATTGCTCTTTGATCATTAAGACACCCATTTCTGCCTACGTTGAAATACAGTGCAATTTGGAACTATATTGGTACTTACATTTACAGAGCCTGAGAACAACATCGTAAATGGAACTCTTTTCATTTCCAGTGCTACCTGTAACAATAAATGAGGGGATTCATCATTAATGCCAGTGCTGCATTAAACGATTATCTTTTGCATACAGTCACTGCCCCATCTTATGTCTCCAGCACGTAGCAATGATGTGGCAATACCTGCAGATATCTCTGAGTTCTGGGGAAATTAATAAAAACAAAATCAATGCCTGAGGAAAAGCATGCCTCAGAAATCAGCTGTGCTTTGCTGCTTTTGCTCTGAAGGCCTTTGCATCTTTGGATGGTTCCTCAAATCCACCAGTGCAGACAGCAAAGAGATTGCTTAGTTTTGGTCTACAGAGAGGAGAAGGCACAATTTCAGCTCTTAATTCAGGTGCTCTGGAAACACCCCCAGCACAGCCCTGCTGCTGAACCACAGGAAAGAGGTGACTGATGGGGCAGGGAGGAGCTGGGGAAACTCCACTGGTGAAAAGGCTAAAAGCCTTTGTAAAGAAGACCCAACAGCCCTCCTTGGGAAGTGTGACCTGTAGGTGGGCAGCCTCCACATGGAGTTACAGGTGAGGAAATCAGTGCTGTTATCAACTTGCCACGATGGCTCCAGCTGGAGTGCACGGCTCTCCCTGCAGCCACAGCTGTGGGCTGTTTTGGGGACAAAGAAAGCGGGGAAGGAAAGGCACACTCAGCATCTTCCTATGAATGACCAAGATCAGCTCCTCCAAACAAACATCAGATACAATGGCCTACAATGACTTGCCCTGCTGTGGTTAAACTACTGCTGCGGTACCTGCTTTCATGTTAGACCTTTAAAAAAAAAAAACCCGCATTATTTGCACACACATTCTGAAATGCAGCACAAAATCTGTGCTTTGAATAAAGCAATGCAATGCATCTAATGCAGCTCGTGCCAAAACAAATCATTCCCCGTTTGTTTTACACTTCAGCGTGTTCAGCGATAAGAGAAGTCCTGCCCAGCTTTGGAGAACATTCCAATAATCCCACAAGCACATTATCTGAAGAGATCACATTTAACATCTGCAGGTCAAGAATGACCCAGCAGAGATACACCCATTGGCGCCTGCTTTCCTCCAGCAGAGCTGGATACCAGCTGACTTGCTTCGCTGATTGCCTTATCCAGGGTGTTTCAGATGGGTCTTGACATCCTGATACTCACAATGCTCCAAGCAAACCCCCGTCTTCAAAGAAGGGCATCTCTGTGTCAGCACTGAAACAAGGAAGCTGCCACAAATAACTGCTCCCAAAACCTAAGGCTGCTGCTCTGCACATCCCAGGGCTGACGCAGACTCCCAGCAGAGGTAACTGCTGTGACCCACTGCTCAGTGCTGCAGGGCACATCCCATGCCCACACCTCCTCTTTCTCTTGTCAGATTTCACCTCTGCCTATCGACTGTGGCTGGTTTCAGAGGACATGCCTTCATGGCAAAGAAATGCTTACTCTGGACGCAATGAAACCTTGGGAACACCTGGGCCTTTCCAAGAAGTACACAGACCCCTTCCCTTTGTTTAAAATACACGAGGATTTAAATTCAATCAGTGAGCAGGTGTGGATTTGCTTTGGGAATACCTGGAAAGATGATGGATGAAAACAGAGATGGGGATGGATCTGGCTGGTACCCATTCAGCAGATGTTACAGTAATGGATCACAGATAGGGGTGTTAAGATATGGGCTCCGTGTCCAAAGAGCTGCTTTTCACTTGGAACATCCGCACGCCAATGAATTGCAAAATCTTAACCTTGGGAGGGGAAACGAAATAATTTAAAAACATTTCCTGTCTCTAATTATGTTTTGCATGTGAAGTGGATCCATACAGAACTGCTGGATTTGGACACCTGAAAGCAAACAATAGTGTGGGGCAGGCCGTGCAGTTTGCATCTGGATAACGGTGCTATTTTGCCTTCCTGCAGTGACTAAAAGGATTTAAGCTGAAATCTGTGGACTCGAGAGGTCCCAAAGTTCATTTCTGAACCCAAATCTGGATGTGCATTTTTGAAGCTTGGCCTTATCACTTCCCTGCAACGCAAGGTATTTTTTCTGCCAGAAAATACTCAAAGAGCCTCACAGGAATCCCTCGTGGTCACCCGCCCCAGTGCACAGCTAAGCAAATGGAGGGACTGCATGCAAAGAAGGCAGAGAGCGTGCTGTGGTCACACAGGGCCCGTGTCCATCTGCAGCACAACCCTTGCTGCCTCCATAATCCCCTGCAGGTTGCTAAATCAAAGAAGTGAAATAAGGCAAAGCAATTTTCCCAGCCTCCTCTCATCAAAAAAACTTCCTAGGATCTCAAGGGGATAAGAGTAAGGCAAGATCAGAGAGCTTCAGCTTTGGTCATTTGCAGATTCCTTCTGCTTGGCCTAGCTGCTCCCCGTCCCTCCGTGTGCACGCAGCAGGTAATCCTGGTGGGAACCAACCCGAAGCCCAGAGAACCCAGCACTCCTCCTTGTTCTCTACCCTCACCCTCTGCAAAGAAGAGATGCTGAGGGGTTTTTTCCCATGCTGCGAGTGGCGAGCAGCAGCACAGCCCATTATTGTACTTTGCTCATGGATTGTGCACTTCCCGCCCCATAACCAGGACTGGACCATCGTGACTGACCTGTTACCCTTTCTCCTCCTGAGATCCTTTGCAAAGACAATCGATTCCCACCTTAAAATAACCAAACGGTAAGCACAAGGATTTTGCATTTGCATATCTAGTTATTTAATGATCTCGAGTCTCTAAAATCCATGTGATTTGAATGCTGAAGGCTGCATACACTTTTCACACTTAGAAAACAAAATGCTCACTTTTAATAAGCAATACGACCATCCTAAAGAACACTGGAGGACAAAATCTAACCAGATGTTTCTGACCTATTGCAAACAATCATTAACTACACACAGTTTCTAATTATTTGAGTCCATTTCACTTCTTACTCTGTGGTCATTTTGTTCCTTGGCCGTGTGGCCTATGCTCAGAAAAATCTCCATTAGGCAGCACAGAGTTGCAGAAGAAAAATGACCCTTTTTCCTCTTTCTAAGGTTGTTTCAAGACCTCTAAGCACATCTCCAAACCAAAACAAAAAAGAAGTAGAAAGCACTTAAAAATTTAAAAGCACAACAGTCTGCTACATTGAAACATGTTGTTATCAAATCAAATTGCTTTCTCTCACCCCTCTGCTAGCAGTTTTGCAATTCATTTTCCATAAAAAGCTGTGAACGTATTAAAAGGCATAACATCTCTGCTGAGACTGGGAGCGATCACATGAAGCAGCCACAAGATTTGCTTGATGACATACAGAGTTCATTATTCACGAACGAGTCTCATTTTCAGCCTTAAAGGAGAGGGTGGGGAGAGCAGGGGGAGCAGCCTTTTACAGCACACACACTTGAAGGAAAGGATTGCATTTATAGGAACCACTGAAAAGAATTAAGAGCAGGGAAAGTAAAAGAAAACACACCCCTGTGCTACCAGTTTGCAAGAGCCAAGCTTGGATCCCCAAAACACGCTCGCACGTTTTTCACTTCAAACAAATTTACCTTCTCAGAGCGGCTGAGCAATCAGAAAGCTGCTCAACTTTCAGAAAGTTCAGCTCTGCTGCAGATGGGAAGGGACAGAGAGCAGAAAGCACAGCGTCAGCCAAAGCCACGAGCTGCAAAAGTTCCTCTGCACCCCCCACCGACCTACCAGCCTTCGTCTCACAGGTAGCAAAGTTTGTCCTCCTCCTCCACTGCCACAGCCGCACACGCACGCAGGCTGAGTGCACTGAGCATCAAAAGAATATTGTTTCCAATCTTCCCATGACCAAGGAGAGCGAGAAAAATGCGGTCTGGCCAGGTACTGCTTCTTCGTGAAAAGTAAATCCGGCATTCTGGAATGAGTTCAAACACAGGGCTTGACAGGCAAGGGAGAAAAGCTTTTTCACTGAGCATGCTTAGTCCTGCACTGCCTGCACACTTAATGAACATTACTTCCTTCCCAGTGGTTACTCCTAGTAGAAATCCACACCCCCTACTCTTTCAGAAGTCAGGAATGCAGCTGAAACCAAAGTCCAGAAAACAAGCCCGACACCCAGACATGGCCCCACAGATCAATAAACCCAGGTTGTGACCCGCAGGTCAGTTTGTCAAACAGGACATCGGGCTGAGTTTTTTCTACACTTGGTATAGTTTGCTTTATGCTTCAGCTAATGCTACTCGCTCCCCAGAGAAAATAAAACTGCACCGGCTTTTAAAGGATGATTAAATGCTTCAATAACAGCTGGGAATTCTCTTTAAATCTCGTCTTCCCAAACCTGCTTTAAAATGAGGAATGAGCACTGCGTAAAAAAGTTCTTCCGATTCTGAGATTCCTGAACAAAAGTTGTTGGGATTTGTCCTAGGTGAGGAGCATCTGCTAAGCAAAAATACAGACCCTTCCCTTTAGTGAGAGCCCCATCCCGTTCCCTTTGCAATCACTCGCAGTTTTGTCATTACCTTCAGTGGGAATCACACCACGGTTTTAGATTTCAAATGCTTTCAGGCAAGAGCTGTGTCTACTTCAGTGACCTGTACAGGACAGACTGGTTCTGGCACTTCAATTTGCAATTTACAATATTGCTGTGTCTGAGTGTTTGAACACCGTGCAGCAGAAATCTCCCTCCTTCCAAAGCCCGCAAGAGTGGCTGAAGAAAAGCAATTCTACAAAATCGCATGTGTTATTTTTAAAGCTTTTCATTATATTTCAAGCTTTTCAGCTGCTTGCCAATTTTTTTTCCGTCAGGTTACACTTAGCTCTCACATCTCAATTCTCACCCACAATAGGACCAGGAGATTTTTTTGTAATGAAGGCTATGCTGGCCCAGAGTGCCGTGTCATAAAAACACCAGGCGGCAAACGATGAGTTACAATGGAATAACAAGGGCTGTGGTATTGTGAGGTAAAGAGCACTAATCAAAATCTAAGCTGTCATCATTTCCAAGGCCTCTTAGATAACGACTATCACACCACACTTTAAAATAGGTTACAATTCGATTGTGACCTCTGCATCTGAGCAGCTGCAGACCTCACGTGGCTCCGGGGCTGGGTTTGAAGGGGGACAGACCACGGCAAAAATCAAGTCCCTGGATTCCAAACGTCCCATTTAGACCCCATTTAGATTGCAAATGGTATTAGTGCACACTGGGACTGAACTCACATGGGTACGTTCAGAACCACTCTGTTGGGCAACCAAGTTTGAACAAAGTAATAATAAAAAGAAGTGCCCACACAGATCTGCTCTTCCTCATTTCCTTCAGGATCACACAAGGAAAAGTCCCCAAACTGCACAACAAAAACAACCATGCTGAATTTCTAATGTGCATAACTTGAGGTTTGGGAAATCCCCAGAGAAAGAAAGTTTCCTGTCGATGTGCAGAAGCAGCCGCATAAGGCTGATCAACCCCAGCACAACAAGCAAAAGGCTTTTCCCTTTGGTACACCTCCATCTCGCCTCCCTAAGCTTTCCTTTGGTCAGGGAAGTCCCTAACAGCACAAAACAAACTGTCAGCCCAACTGGATTTTTCCCCCTGGACCATCTCTGGGCCACTTTTCATGGCCTTGTCATTCAGCTGCACAAGAGAATGAAATCTGTTGGATTCATAAAGCCTGAGGCATCAAAAGCAGGCAGGCAGCGCACCTTACTCGCATCCAAAATGATCCTAAAGCTCAGAGGTGATGAACCCAGGGCTTAAAAACAGGCTCACTCAGCAAACAGTTGTAGTGCTCTGAGCCATCCTTGTCTTCACCCATTGCTCACAGCAACTCCTGGGTGAATGGAGTGCCTGTATGCTCCAGCCTGGAGCCCAAGAGCTTACACTGAGCTCCAGCTGGGAGCAGGAGCCAAACCAAAGCACAGAGCACTAATGCATCTTAGGAGCACACCATCATGGCACGACCTTATGACGGCAACTTTGTCAGAGTGCTGGTAACCTGCTAGAGAGACACGGTGACACAAATCCCACAGCTGCCCACAACCAGACCCTCCCTGCTGTGCTCCTGATAGAACAGCAGCATGAAATGCTCCAAGCTGCAACCACGCACTGCCACAGCAGGGCTCTGCCATTCCCACCAAGCCCCTCCAGGCTGCTGCATGCTCAGGATCCATCTTCCTGTGCCACAGCACTGCAGGCCTGCAAGCTGAAGGCACGCTGCAAATCCGCCGTCTGTGAGTCACAGCACAGGGAGCAGACTGCTGATTCCCTTCATGCCTAATTAGCCATAAGAGGTTGGCACGACCATTTCTTTAGCACAGCGTTGGCCCAGCGCTCAGACGAATCCCGTGTCCAAAAGGAAAGTGCTCTAGCTCCAGTTTTCTTCTGGAAAGAAAAATCATGTAGGGGCATTCGAGTCCACAGAGCTCTCCTGTTAATCATTTGAAGACTGTTGGAGCACTGTATGCCAGTGGTACAATGTCTGTCAGTGAAGACAAGCCTAGCTATGCACATTCTGTCCTGCCACAGGACTGAGTCTGGTTTCTCTGAGGGAAACTGGGACCAGCTCTACCTGCCTTTGAGCTGGGACTGCAGGACAACAGACCAAAGTGAATTTCAGCAGGAATGAGGCATTTAAACTCCTTCTAGACTCTGCAATTAGGGCTGCTGAATAGCAAATATTTGGGCAGGGTTGAAAAGGAGCAGAGAAAGAAGACTTGTGCTGTGCCTAGAAGCCAACAAGTGACCCCAAGATGGATCATCAGCAACTGGAGAACTGCATCCTTCAGGCATCTGTGAGTCAGGACAAGGACTGGGAAAAGCCTAGATAAGTGAAAAGCCTACAGGGAGCTGCACAAGCTTTGGACTGCTTGATTTCTGGGATGATGACTACATATCCTAACCAGAAAGCTGTGCCCTAAGGCGCAGACCTGAAACAGACTTTGGCATGGCATCAGTCCTTTCCAGGATGAACGACAGAGCCCACCAGCACACATTCACCAAGATCCAATGGGGAACTATTGTTGCCACTTTTAATGAGAGCCAAATGGCTGCCCCTCCCAGAGCTCACAACTCCAGCTGGGGCAGCTTTGCTTCCTTTTTCCCCCTAGGATGCATAAAATACATTTTTGCTCTCCTTCCTGACACCAGAAAAGCCTGGATCGCTTCCCACTGTACTGTGAGAGCTTGAAACTTGGCCATGCTATTTACAGCATCGTCTTTGCCCGGAGGAATTGGAGCCGCATCGTGCTTTTTCCACCATATGCAAGCAGCAGGCACGGCTGCATGTGCCAGCAGCACGACATGGCGAGCTCAGCACTACCTGTCGGTGCTTCCCCACGGCCACTCCAAGCACTACCAAGAGAGAAGAACAGGACTTCCCAAGGGATGCTGTCTGCTGGCTCTCATCTTCCTTGCTCCTGGTGCTCAGACGCATCCATCCTTCAGTTGTCGGTGGGAAAGGATAAATTAAAGAAAGACTGTAAAGGGTGGGGCTCTGTTTCTGCTCCTCTCAACAGTCAAGTTGGCTTTTGTCCATAGAGAAGCTTTTCAAAAGGAGTTACGTGACTCAGAAGCCTCTGTTCCATTGATTTTCAGCAGGAATCGGGCTGGAACTGCAGCAGCCCTGGGTCTGAGCCCCACGTGGGCTGTGCATGCAGTGACCCACAGTCAGAGCATCTCCACCAAAGGAACGTGGCACCTCAGCTCCGCCAGCAGCAGTTCCCCACCACCATGGGGACACCAATGGCCCCAGGAGAGCTGCTTCTGGGACAGCCTGCCCCTGGACAGCAGAGCAAAGGGTGCTGCAGGAGGAGCCTCAGGGCTGCTGCCAGCAGGGAGTACACAGCCTCAAAGGGATGGAGCTGCAACACTGTAGGTTTGCCCCTCTCTCCTCTTTCATCAGACCCAAGAAGCTGAGCTCAGAGGCAAGAAACTGAGAGAAACTCTATGATCACGGACAAAAATTTGACCAAACTGTCTATCTTTCAACCTTAGGATCTGTTTCAGAGGCATTAATGCATTCATTTATTGATAAAATATTAAATATGAGTAGCTGGCAGGTTTCCCAGAATGCAGCAGGTAATCTAAGTGTACTAGAAATAAAAGCACGAGAAGCTTTAACTTTAAAGGCCTTGCTTTGCTAGGACAGAATGACAGAGCAGATATTGAAAGTACAGCAGTTCCCAGATCTGCTCTGGTCTTCCACGTAACTTTGGGCAAATCACGTCTCTGATTTATAGCACCCAAAAGGAACTGGATGTAATTATTACAAAGATCACTACGATCAATCTGAGACAGCACTGGCAAAAGGCTACAAATAATGCAGGAAAGATCAAGCCACAGCCACAGTCTTACCAGAGATTCAAACTCCACTTTAAACAAGGCAAGCCTCACACCGCTCCCCTGTAGCACTCTGAAATGAGCTGACTGCAGGACATTTTGCAGCAAAACCTCTTTCCACCCAGTGTTGCAGAGCGTGGGGAGGGCAGTGGTACCTTAGCAGAGCAGAGCACTGCCTGCACCATGGAGCTCAGCGGTGCAATGCTGTGAGGTCAAAGTGACCAGTGCTGATCCGCTCGTATCTCACAGCAATTCAGAGCTGTGGTTCACGGATTTTTTAGATTTCTCACCAAAAATGTGGGCTGTTTGTTTCCTCCTGACCTTTTTTTTAAGTCTATTGCATGAATTAGCTTAGCAGAGTCTTCTTGCAGGATAATAAATAACAGCAAGTATTTCCTATGACAACCTAAGGTTTCTATTCCAGGCACAATAAATTTCATTGAGGGAGGAGGAAAGACAAACTGCATGAGCAACAGCATTGAGCTCAGGGAACTTCATTTTTCCCCTCTCACAGGAGAGTTGTTTCAAGGCTAAATGTTTTCTGTGCGAGGTATATATGATAAATATTTGCAGAAGGATGTTGGTGCAGTGCAGTTCTCCTGAAAGGATTGTGCTACATCATCTGTGCTGTCTCTAAGCTGCAATGAGACATGATACTTTAAAGGACAAAAAATGAAGAAAGGAAAAAAGCTTGTCTACCTTAATCAAGATTTGTTAGTAATTTCTGATAGAA